ATGTAATTGTTATGATGAATAATTAATAGTAATATCAGTGACCTTGTCCTTAGAAAGATTACGTATGACATTTCACTGGGAAAAGCTTTTATCAGTCGGAAGAACCGTCAAAATTTCCTGATGTGCGGTTTGGCTGATTGGAAGTTTATTGAAGTCCGTCAACCTTTATTTCACCTTCAGTATTAATAAACGATACATCTAATTCCCGTAAATGATTAACTAAAACATGCAATTACTGATATTCATTACGAAACTATGTTGGCCTGAAATCATCAACTACACTCTTTTACTCACCATGGTTCAATTGTTACATGTAATTGGTGTTTGTGAATACTCATTATTTTTTCTCCTCAATAACAGTTTACATATTAAAGTTCAGTAACTGTTCATTGGTCCTCTTAAACTCTACAGCCCAGCAGTTATTGTCACTGAACTGCATCGTCGATCTGGAATGTCTGAAAACGACTATGAGAAGTTTCTTTCAAGAGCCAACGAAACACATGCTCTCGGACGAACTGGAACTGTGGAAGAAGTGGCTCAAGCAATAGCTTTTCTCTCGAGTTCTGCTTCTTCCTTCACTACTGGTAATTTGCTAATGGTTGACGGTGGTCGATCTATCATGTGTCCACGTTAATGAGTTTTATTTTTCTGAATATAACATGCTATTTCTTAAATAAAATTGAATACTAATTTTGTTTCACTGGACATATATTGTCTTCCTTGTGACCCATCACAGGTTGAGTATTGTAGAGGTGGAGCAGTATTTCAGTGGTTAAGATGTTTGAATTTCAACTTCTAAATCAGACTCAAATCTAGCTCCACTTTGGTCCGGTTAATTGGGCAGTATTCCTACCCCTCACACTTTGAAATAAAGCCAAGCACATGGATCTGTACGTGGATAGTCAGCTAATCGGATTTTCGCCCACAGATTCAATGTTGACTTACATAAAGGTAGAGTTATGCATAACAGTAATTCGGATTAATATAAATAGTTTTCGTCGCTTGTTGCAGTTGAGCAACCACATAAGCTGTAAACACAATGAAATTCGCATGACTAATAAAATCTGTTTCAGCAACAGTGAAGAATTGTTTTCATAAAGTATTGCGTAGTGTTGTAAAATTCATTTGTGTTCACCTGAATCTTTCATACAATGTTAGTGTTAATACACATACATGTACAGTTAGTTTCGATAAAGAACTGAAGACAGAACTAACATGTAGATTCCAAATATGAGAAAACCTCGCATCCTAGATTATAGCTAATATTTGCATCGTAAAGATCGCGCAAGGGAGATCAGATTATTTAGATTTGTTAGAAAAACAAAGCGTATTAATGTAGATGGGAGCAAATGTCTGCAAAGTAAAGTGAAAACGCTATGCAATAATGAAAAAAAAATTATATTTATTTCCAAGTTCAGTTATGCTGGGAATCGAGATGTTTGACAGAACAATAGAGAATAGTGACCACAAGTGTTGTTATTAGAAAGATACTGGTTACTCCAGTAGATTCAAGTATCAATGTGTGAGGTAAAAATAATTGGAGTTTCCTTGTTGAGTATTACAGTGAAGCAAATATAACTCTCGAGGTAGGGATTCCATATTCTGAAGTTGTTAGGGGAGCTAAGGTCACTGGATCCTTGTTTCGTTCCATGAACTGCACCTGGTACAAAATTGAATATACTCATTTCATGCAAAATAAGTTTTTTTACAACTGTAAGTTTCTTTGAATGAACATCGTAGTTTCTAACACCCCACGGTGGTTATTAGTTTCAAAGGTATTTGAAATATTCAGCTTTCTGGCCAATTGCAACTCGTCATATCGAGTTATCAAAGTCGGTGTTATCTGTCATGATGTCAACCTGATTGGTATTGAGGGACCTGTACATCTGACCGACGTTATACTTTATATTCCACAACATTCCTCATAGATATCATCGAACAGTACTTAGAAATCTTTAAGCGTGTTCTCTGAAATAAAAGTAAATCCTCACTCCAAGGAGAAGTGTGTGGGTTTACTTGAGGATCATTATAGTAATGTTTTTATCTGGGTAAGCAATTAATAATAGTATTATCAAAAGACCTATAAGAAATTTTCCATTCGAAGTATACTCACTAAAACAGTGTAACGTTCACACTAATTGAAAAGTATCAGATACAAAGAAAAATTGTCCCTTGGTTGCTATATTTTGTAACAGCATACATGAAGAAAGAAAAGTAATTTAGTGAATGATCTGTCCAAAGGTTCTACTAGATACTGATCTGTGGTGGATACTCATTTCACTTTCAAACTGGATGCAGTGGTAAATTAGTTATGAAACGTAACATCAGATTTGACAAAACGGAGTTTTTTTCTCGAGGTGCTTAAAAGTTTTCTTCCTAGTTTTTATCGAATAGAACAATGTAGCCTGCTTCATATCACGTCGGTGGAGTTACTGAACTCAACAATAAAAAATAAATTGAGACTCGAGAGAACCCTAAATTGGCGGCACAAATAGTTGATATGCATCATGAAGCGACAGGTTTTCATATGCGTACAAAATGCATTAGACTTTAAGATGATTGCAAGCTTCTGTTTTGCTGTTGGTTAAGTATAGGTGAATCACACTGTAGGTCGTCTGAAATGTAACAACGTGATACAACTGGCATGATAGCATTGTTCAACAATCATTATTAGTGTGTACAGAAATCAATTCTTCAAATTCAGAGCACGTAGAGGTATGCTGAGATGGTCTCATAATAATTTACAATAGCCAAAAGTTTTGTTTACGGTTTTTAAAAAATAAACTAATCACAAGTACAAATTTCCGCTGAATTATAACTTAAGATTCATAATCCATTAAAATGTCTACACAGATCATTTTTCCTCCTACCATAATTGTACTCGAACCACTAGGTGTGTAAGTAATTCAGTTTCCTTAAATAAAAAAACATGAACTATTTAATGAGGGAAAGAAAGTAGTAAGTAGATATATATTGATAATAAAATCTAGGATGTGTAGTTTAAAAGCTGGATGAATATGATTTTTAAGGTTTTGTTTTTTATGTTATAAAAATGCTTTTAATTTAGAATTCCATTGTCGTAGATCCTCCACTGTAACCGGCCCTTGCAATAATTTCCTGAAATAAAAAAAGGAAATGTTTCAAAACTAATCAATTGAAATATGTATACGGGTTGAAAAATTATTACATTACAAATTCCCAAAGGTTTAACGATTGTTTACGGGTAAATAAGTTTGACAACCAATATATCTGTTGCGAGTGAAAGACAACCATTTTGTGATTGAAACTAACTAAATTTAGTAGGTACACAAATCAACAGGTTATATCGAACAGTAACAACAAAGCCAGTCGGTCGGCTATACTTCTTATCTGAAAGCATTTCAGTATCCAGATACTATTGACTGCTGTAATAAGAAGTTTACTGAAAATTGTTCGCAAAATGTGGTTCATTTTTACCTGACAAAAGAATTCTCTATCAAGTGTAAAAAGACCGTGCGGTTTAAGGATCACCTACGTAAACCTAACGATGGACACAAATAGGTCATCTCAACCACAGTGTTAATGTGAAGAGTGACAGATTGTACGATGATACGCGCATGTTGCAGGAAGTAACTGCAGTTAGTGGAAATTATCAAGATATCCACCCGTTAGTAATAGTAACATTATAAAAACCATAAGTCTCCTGTGATAATTGCCAAATGATTGCTTGCAAATTGGTGACCAGCAATGTGTCAAATTATCCTCGTTTTTTAAATGTCAAACCGTATCATTATCTGGACAGACCAGTGAGTTTTATTTTAATGACTGCTATCAGACAGTCAATTTTATCCCGCGGCTGTCAATGCTATTAACCTATAGTTATTTGGGTGCGAATCAGTGAGTAAACGATATTCATAGTGATGAGAATAATATGTTACACACTTGCTTTATTTGCTTACATCACAATTACTTCAACACTTAAGATGAGCGCGAAAGTATGAAGCAAATGTTGCAGGATGCCAGTAACCAGAGAATGTATTGAACCTTTATTTTGATTGAAATTTAGCTATTTTATATAAATGATTGATTATTTCGCGTTTAGTTTTTTTTCTATGCTAATAACACAGGATGATTGTTTTCGATGCTGAGAAGGCAACCGTAACCAATGAAATCTAACATTATTAAGGTCTCCTTGTTACGAAAAATTGATTGGTTGAGTATTCTGTTACATTTCACTATAAATCTATTTTCGTATACCTATGTTTAATAACAAATTTCATCTGTGGTATCAGACTAATAGAGGGAAGAACTGATAATTTTCTGATAAGAATTTAGAAAGACTTATAGTTACATGGTTTGAGAAAGTTTTTCTTTTGATGAATAAGAAGCAAACATACAATTCTTACCTCACACATGCAAACGTTGCAGTGGTTTTTTCGAACTCCTTTGCTTTAGCTAAACCAAGTCGGATAACCTGAAGTGGAAACATAAAGTTGATGTAACAAACAAACACTAAATAGTTTAATAATATGAGGTTAGAAAATTTGTTGGCGAGCATGTGGTTTTACAGAGGAAACTTGTGTGGTTCATCTTATGATGTCTTCATACCATTTCTGTAATTTTACGACCTAAACATCTGGTTACACTGGATGCATAAATTATTGTAAAAAGTAACAAATTTCAGAACTAAATTTGGGATTGGAATAACAGGTAAAAAGAATCCAGAGAGATCAGCAGTATGAATAGCTTTAAAAAATCGACGTAAAAATTATGCTCTGCATTAATTACCTAACTTTCTTTTCATTAAATAAGTCACTTCACGTGTACATGTACCTCGGCTGAAGTAAGAATATTCACAGATGTTTGGGACGTTCTAATGTATATCGAGACTGACTGCATCATCTTAAAAATGATGTAAGGTGAATTATTCGGTAAGGGATTTAAAAAGTAGAACTATTTAAGATAATTCAGTCACCATTCAAGTGGTACAGATATGAACACAGTGAACTTCTGAGGTGAACTACAAATATCACTATTAATATTTTTCACGAAACGTAGTGTCTTAATACATGGTTATTTAGATGTCATATCTTCTATTAGGTTGGGATGTAGTCTTTGGATAATACGGCTTTAATTGAAGGATATACTATACTAAAGATTTTATCAGTTACACATAATGGTACATGGATTAAGATTACTATGAAGAAAAACTATGTGGAAATCCATGAAAAATGTCTGGTCTCAAATAAACAAACAGTTTATGGATAGTGATATCGGTAATTAAATTGACTACTCAAATTCACTATTAACGTAATAAGATATTGATAATAGAGAAAAAAAAACAAAAAAGATGCACACATAGATAAATCATTGTCAAAACAGTACATAGTTTACTCATGAAACTCTAACCTTATCAGGCAGCATAGCTAAACGAGCTGCATTGAAACCATAGCTTTTCGGACATGCACCAGGAATAAATTTATACAAAAATGTGATATTTTCTAAACCATTTGTTGACTCTGATTCTGCTTCAACCATACAAGCCTTTTTATTTACGTATACAAGAAGAAAATAAAAAAATATTAGATACAGGCAATTCTTATGATAATGATTTAATAAGAAACATTTTAAGTACATAATGCTCGGAAAAATATACTCACTCCCAAGACTTTTTCGATCTTAAACGTTTACAATACAGATAGAAAATTTCTTGAAGAAAAGTTATAACTTAGAAATGTAATCTGAACAACTAAAAAATTTCCTGCCTAGCGAATTAAAAGGCAGTAAAAATGTTAGGAGAATACATTTGGATGGATTCGATTATTCCAGTATGATCCATCGAACGATAGAATATAATGAACAAAATTGCACTGATTCGACTTATCAAACTGTGAAACAGTATACAAAGTGGGACCTTGGGAAACGAGAGTGCCATAGGACATAAGAACGAATTAAAAGTATGAGGTGTTTCAGATCTAGAGAATGGTAGCGAATAGATTTATCTCTCGCTATGTAATAGATTTCGGGACACACGAGAACCTCACTAATACTCCACACTACCACCTCACGCAGTTCAGGTAAATAGTCAGTGGCTTTGTGAACTGACGCCTTAATTCTTCCCGGGCACCTTGCAGTAATTTTAAACTCATTCTTAAGCAAGTAATGCATGTCATAAATGGTCGGTATTGACAACAGTAAAACACCTCGATGACTAAATAGGAACTATATATTTTTGAAGTTCAAGGATAACTCACAGTGCGTGGAAACAACTGGAATATTGCTACAATAAACCAAACTTATACACTTATAGTGTGATAAGTCAATAAATAATAATTGAGCATAAAAAGATGTTACGTACATATATAAATACTTGTAATCAACCACATTAAAATGCTTACCATGTGACCCAGGCCAATACATAAGTGATTTATATCTTCATCCGAAGTAGATCGGTCTTTGTTAGCAACTTGATCTACCAAGCTGTGATAGTGCGTTGAAAACAAAGTTCTAGGGCCAGAGCCATTGAAAAACCTACCATTTGGTTTAGCTAAGTAAGACACAACTGCACCTGCTAGGGCTGATCCGTCGTGAGTGGAAGTTCCACGACCTAATTCATCCATCAAAACAAGACTATGAGGAGTGATATGATGCAAAATAGATGCCGTCTCTGATAACTCCACCAAAAACGTACTTTCACCTGAAAGCATTCTGTCACTTGCACCAAGGCGTGAAAATATTCGATCCACAGGAGTTAGTTTGCATGACTTGGCCGGAATACGACAACCCTAAGAAGATATTTAAAACAATTAAAAAGAAGAATTTAGATCGAGATTTTTCACGTGGTATTTAAGAATATAATACCTAGGGTAAGCAAACAATTAACAGTTCTAGACCTGGAACAGATATGGATCAGAGGAAATTTCGAAGAGTAATCTACTGCCACTACTGGAACTATTTTTCATGAAAATAAACGATTACAATTTTCGTTGCAGTGATCTATAGTTCTTGAGTTGTCTGATAAACGTTGCCCAAAGTATTAATACATGTTTATAATATTTCGATAAAATATAATCTACTGAAGTACAAATTGAGTAGCGAATAGCCTAGTAAAACACTAAGTTAGTGCAAAATAAAAATAAGGATAAAAATCGGAAGTTAGCATAAACAAAAAATTTCGAAAGAAAAACAACTGTTACTCAACCTTGCTGTAGCCCCCAAATGCCCTCGTACGGCGGAGAGTGGGAAGAGTTAGCTATCCCTCTCGAGATGCTTTCACATGGCCACGCATGTACAGACACTGCCAGGAAAATCCTTCTCACAGCGGGGGTGTTAACGAAATTGAGAAGAAGAAAAGCGCATGTCCGGCGCTTTAACTGGGTTAGTGGATATGGAGGATCCACCTAGGGGAGTTGGAAAACCCTGATTCCAAACTAATAGTGAACACAGGTTCCAGTATCCTGAGGAAACAAATGGCGTATGAACCAATCGTCGGTCACCGACTACCATGGGACTGCATTCTCTGACGTTGCTCCACTGCCTTGTGGGTCAGACCTTCAGGTCAGAAGCTCCGGATATAGCTCTCTAAGAAAACCACCTGCTTCGGTCTGGGTACCCGGGCAGTATCACAACCCACACACAAATAAATGAAATGTCGAGTAACTTGTATGGCGCATATGTATTCAGTGCCCATTTGTGCCAATATTTATGTGTTCAAATAAATAACCTTGCTGTATTACCAGAGATGAAATCAACAGCGAATAGCAAAGGGTCGAAATAAAAGTAATACCAAAGATAGTGGAAAAGATTTTAAAAAATATGGTTTCAAGATGAATGTATATAAAAAACTTTTGAAACTCAAAATTTAGGAAATGCACACTACCACGCGACTTTGACTATTTCTGAGCCAAGTCGCGTAACGTCAACAAGGCCTAAATAAAAACATTGTATGGAACGCTTCATCATCTATATGTTTTAACATTATCTGAGAACCATTCATATATTTTACACACAGAGTAAACACTATAGTATTGATATGAATTACCAAACCAACAAAAAAACATGTTTAGCTGTAGTTATATTAACAAAGTAATAAAAAGAGTAAGTACAACTAAGAGATCAAGGCACGTATGTCCATAACAGTAATTAAAATTTAGTCTGATGTAACTAACCAACATACAAATGATCAAAATCAGCATGGTTTAAATTTGATACATATACATGTTTGAGTATTTGGTTTTCTGTTACACTTATTTTGAGTAATGGTTATTAACATAACCCACCAATCCAGATATCCAAACTAAATTACATGAAGCGAAATCCAGAAAATTTAACTACATTTATACTTACATCTTACCGAAAATTAATGTACCATTACAATAAATTCCAAGTGAAATGTAAAAAATCTAGGCTTTTTACGACCTGATTAATAAGGTGTCATTTTACAGCACATAGTTTAAATAATACTATATATATATAACTAATCACAATACAACTCACTAAATGGGCTAATATAACTAATAAAGCAGCTTGTCTCATCAAAGTTGATTTTCCACCCATATTAGGACCAGTGACAAGAATAACAGAAGCATTGTTAAACATATCATGTAACGTATGATGCTGTGTTGGTGAATTTATCATCGATGATGTTGTACCAAGCTTTATATCATTTGAAATAATATCTCCACCAGAAAATGTATTTATAAGACAAGGATGAATTCCATCAACTATTTCCAGTAATGGCTAAAAAAAATTGAATTTTTTAAATCAAAATTACATAACTATAATTAGAAAAAATTCATTTAGTGTTGTTTGTTTGAATCTTCCCATCGATGTGTTAGGACTGCAACTGGTCAGTCTCTAATTGGCATATGTGCATACTGTGCGTATTGCCTCGATATAGCCTTAATTCACAAGAATGGTAAGCAGTGATGGATTCGAGTGAACATCAACTCTGAGATGCAGGTACATCCAGCTGACGAGTCCCAAATAGGACGAAACGCGCGTCCTGGATTCCACTGCTAGCCACTATCCATCTCTGCTTATAATTAGAAAAGATGTTATTCTTATAAATGAATAGTATCAATTCAAACGATGTTCTCTCTCTCTCTCTCTCTATATATATATATATATATATATATATATATATATATATATATGTCATAGTTATTTATTTTTATTTATTTATTATTATTAGCTTTATTCAATATTATATTTTTGGTACAATATGGATTTCTCAGCACAAAGTACTTCAAAAAGTTTCCGTTTCTTACTTCTTCGTCCTTCCCGACGATAAATATTGAGTGATCGCCGGTTAGAAGTTAGCAGCCCAGTCAATCGACATCTGGATAATGTACATTCTTCTCGCTGCATATTGCCAGCAAACACGATATCTCTAATTAGGCCTTCTATAACCTTTACAGCGAAAAGTCTTACACTTTTCAGAAACGCACCTGAATATGTTGTGCGATTAATAGGCATATTGATGTATTAAAACAAACAAAATTAGATAACTTGTTGAAATATCTAGATGACAGGAACAGGTAGCCCAGATGTTTAAAGCCGCACAGGAAATTCTCTGAAGATTTAATACAAGCATTTTGAATGGGTATATACGAAACGATTGATTTGACTCATTATCTATTGCAATACTTCCTAGCATTCATAACTTACAAAAGATGAATTATAAATCTTAGTTATCTAGATATTAAGATTGTTTGTATAAATTATGGTTTTGAATTTTATGTAAGCAATCACTTGAGTTTTTGACTTTGAAGAATACCAAAAGGAAGTTTGCCAGTTTTTTCTTAGTGTTCTGAATAGTAGATTAGCGACGGGTGGGAAATTTCCTATAGGATACCAGTCTTTCGGCATATACAGTAGTCAATGTCAGCAGACTTTGTTGACAAGGCAGAAAAGCCAATAAGACATATGAAAACCTGCTAAATTAACTAATTCGTTATCTTACAGGCAAAATCAACAATGGTTCACAATTTTCTTCACATTACATGATAGTAATTTCAAACATTTTAAAATTAATGGACAAATATCATGCGTAATAGAAGATGAAATCAAACATACTTCAGTAGATGAATTTAGATCAATGAATTCTGGAAGACACATCACATCAGAAGCATTTATACTGTACAAATATAAAGCAATTAGACAGTCTAATTCAGCTAAACAAGACATAGCCATGTGCCAATGGGTAAATCTAAGTAATAAAAATAACAGGGAAATAATCTATCATGGATGGCTTCGGGATTTTAAATAAAGTATTTGATAAACAGTTGAAAGCTATAGAAAAATTTAACAATAATTAAAGCACGCGATAGAACACGAGGATCAGGCATGAGGTTTAGGAGCACAAAATGGTCACAAAAAACGACACAAACTTTAAAATTACGCACTTTGTATCGATTTATGTAGGGAGAATAAGAAAGCAATGGAAAAAAACAGTAAGATGTGATTATTCAATAGACTATAATTTAATAATAATAATGGAATTTGTGGGATGTGCATAACCAGTTATGGACATCCATAGACAATGAATATTCAGCTTTATATAACCAAACAAATGGTGAAGATAGGGAATTTTCTTACGAACTACGTAGTTTGTTATAATCATATATATAAGGAAGCTATAAATTATGTTGTAAGAGATACCCTTAAATAGATTCGGGATTTAAAGATAATTAAAAAATGGATGTACCTTAATAAGATTTGTTTGAAAAGATCGTGAAAACGTTTCACTCAGCTAAACATTATGTGATAATGAAAAGGTGCAAAAGTTTCTGTACGCGTGAAGGATAAGCTACACTGTTGACTGCCTCATTGTGAATCTATAGGTGTATTTTCATCTGTGAGCAAATTAGATCATTTGTGACCAGGGCTCATTTTCAACGCGCACATGAGAGAACACTAACATATTCTTATAAGGGTAAGAGGAGAGTGATCGGCAGGTCGAAATTATTGAACACTTAGTTTACTTCGACCACACGACTAATCCATATATCCACAGCATGAATTTTTGTAGGACTTAGGAGATATGAATCTTGTAAAAATATGTTTCCAACTTTTGAAAACAACAAAAGAATCGGGTATTGTTGGGGATGCTAAATCAACAAATACAACGTATTGGGAAGACATCAATCTTAGAGTTTAAATATTTATTTAAGGTAATTTTTGCTCACTGACCTTTAGTGCATTTTTATTCATATCAATTAGTTAATTGTGATTTTTCATTCAAATGGAAACTGTTTAGCTTGACAAATCCTCTAACTAACAGTCACTGAAAGTAATAAGCATATAAATGGACGAATTCGAATGTGAATTAATCTTATTTGATCACTACTGAATAACTCCTCCTTATAAGATTTGTCTTTTTGAATAACCAAGACTAAGGGTTATTCTATTCTGATATCGGAGTGTAGTTAAGATTCATCGATATTATCGCGTCCACATCAAATAAACAAAAAATTAAACTTGGTCGCTCAGGTTATACATTAGCTAACACTTTCATTCAGTGTGCTTCTGGACAAATAATGCGCACACATAGCTTGAGAACAAAGTTTTCAAAAGATATTTTCATTGAACACTTTATGTTCTGAATGTTGTAATAGAAAAAGTGGAATAATTATCAAGTTAGTGATCACAAATCGGTTGAATATTAACTTCGACAATGTTTCGAATTGTATTTGAATCGAATGTAAAGATAACTTACGATTCGCTAAACGATGAAAATATATGTTGCATTATCGACCGTAGACTAGCATCTTTACGTTCCTCAGCAGCAGTTAACTCGCTTAGCCATTCTTGGGTCTCTGAGCAAGTATAACGTTTGACACCTTTTCGCTGTGAAGATAACTGCCATGAGTTAGGAACACGAGATGCTAGAGACTCTGGGATTTCAATCTGATAACGATTGCGACCAGTTCCCCAATATGCAAGCTAAACATTTTAAACAAGAAACCAGATGGAATGAATTAATTAACAAACTAGCCTATTAGAAGATAAAATGATTATAAAAAAGAATATTGAACAAATAAACATGCACGGTTAGTAACAAAACAGAAAAATAGCATGCAAGGGAAACAACTGTCGATATCTTTATGAAACAATGGAAGTGAAATATTAACTCAATTACTGATCACAGATAAAACTGTACTTAAATGTTATCCATAAATTGTATGGTGGATTACTACAAGTATATAAGGTGGTTTGACCAAATATATTGGTGTGACAACTTATTAATTAACTAGCACACTACTTACGCCAGTTACCCCTCATGTTGGAGCATAGGCCGTTCACTAACATTCTCCACACAACTCTTTCCTGGGCGATTCTTTCCAGTAGCTATTCATCCTTTTCAAGTCTGCTTCCAATTCCAGACGCAGCGTGTTCTTTGACCTTCATCTTTTTCGGTGATTGACTTGCCTTCTTTGTCCTTGACCGGTCTCTCTGGTCTATATTTTCCTGCGAGTTTCTTTGTTGTGTCATATAGTTGTTTCATATTTCCTTGCAGCTTCTTCCGCTGTCGTCGTTCCTTTCTCCTAGTTCATATCGTCCCATGATATCTTCATATCTGGTGTTGTCCATTACGACTATGACGTTTAGATCTCTCATAAGGATTGCCAGGTCCCTTCCTGAGCACTTCGGTATGATCTATTGCAGCCTCTCGTAAAACCGATCTTTGTATTTGTCGTTGCTATTATTGGTGGGTGGATAACATTGAGTATAATTCCCTCCTTCTTTGCTTTGAAGGATGCTTTGATGATTCTAGATCCATGAGATTCCCATCCTACAAATGCATTTCGTGCTTCTCTAGACAGCATTAGAGCGACTCCCTGAGTGTGTGGATCACTTTTTTCTCCGTGATCGGAGTACAAAAGCATCTATCCCGTACCTAACGTTTGTTATCCAGCTTGGATCCAATGGGTTTTGCTGATTCCGAGAATCGCTAAGTTGTATCTGCTAATTTCCTTTGCTATTTAACTGGTCCTCTCGGTCTGTCACATTATCCGGACGTTTCATGTACATATATTAATTGTTGCTCTGGTTGTTAGAAAGCTCATCGGCCTCGTGACTTTCGAAGAGTCTCAGCTTTCATCCTGAGGCGCCATTATTCTCCCTTCAACTTGGAGAGCAGAGTTCAGATGGTTTAAATTGTTTATTCCGGTTAGCGATTTTTTAGAAAGGTTTTTTTTTTCTACGGAATGGGGTTGCCGACCTAATGCCCGGGCTTGGGACGGTCAACCCAAGTTAATTCTATACATGAATACGTACTGCTTAGTTGTTTCAGTTTTGATTTTAAAATACAAACTATTTTAATAGTTACATTTAAGATAATTATAGAATTTTGACAATGTTTAAATCACGAAGTGATCTTAACTAGACCACCTTTGCAAAAACATACACAAAGTACACATCAACAAATGTGAATATGGTAGTGTTTTGTATTCTGTGATAAAAACTTTATTTGTGAGTTAAATACAAATTTCTTATTAATAAACAGGAATTGAATTATATGAATCAGCTTCTTATTTATCCTGTTTTTACACTAACAGTGGTGATTATGGCTACCTGGACTGAATTCATTTACTCTCTATGTGTAATACATGTATTAGGAAATATGGTTATTTATATTTGCAACAATAGATATATCTTACAAATTACTGGGATCTGTATTGAATTTTCTTATTTTACTGACGCAATAATGACAAAAATAACAATAATGATGATAATAGTTATGTTCGATACCTTAATTAATATTACAGTAAGGAATTTTCAGGCAACTAACAAGATAGATCTCCGCACATGTATGGTGAACTGGAAAAAAACCGGTTCATAAATGATTTACGTTGAATATGTGGTAATTACTAGGATATGATAATTCTACTATACGTATCATACTAGGTAGATTGTGAGAAAGGCATGATGAAATCTATGCTCATTGAGCACTAATTTGAATGAAAACTACTTTTGCTCGTAAATGTTTGTCAATCGCTGACACCGGACAATATGGAATAGATGTATTTAAACTCGATTCGTCAAATTAGTGAGATGGCACCCTGGCAGATGATTTCACAAGGAAACAAGTTTACAAAGTTACCAGTTGTAATTCGTTAACATATACTGAAAAAATTATGATGTTAAACTTAGAATTCATTACTAACCGCTATCGAATACCGATTAACTGCATCATCAGATAAATTTTGATTAAACTATCTAGAATCGATGAAGAGATTCATGAACTCTTAGAGTATCTTCTACTTGCTGTACAAAAGCATAATCTTCAGCTGTTAAAAAACGTATTCAACAAAATCACTGTCGACCTTTTAAACATGAAATCATATTGTACCAAAGCCTAGGTTCCAATTTAGCATTACTGTTTAAACGATATTTTCAGAAATATGAAAATAAAAACAGATACACGGATTAATGTTAATGGGCATTTTATGTCTTTGTGGAAATGGAAGTTCAGGTATTTAGGAAACTATTTGCTTACCCGTGTACCGAACGTTTTGCTCCATTTTAATAAAAATCTGTCCATATCCTCAACAATCCTCTGAAAGCAGAAAATTAAAAACTTGAAATTTTTTCACATAAACATTTTATTTGCTTATTCGCTTACATTACTTATTATTACTTATTACTCAGTAGCTTAACCATTTGTATGACATGTATGCCGTTTGATGGTATAGTGTTTCGTAGTTGCAATGAACTGTCTGTTCTATAAATTTATACTACTATTTCGATGGTCACGTTAGCTTGTCAGTTATTAACGTTGCTTATTTCTTATCTCATCGTTCATCTTTTTTCGATCATATTTATTTTTTTAAAAGAACTGTCTAGTTTGGAAAATCCTTGACCTGTTTGTCAGTCGTTGATACTTCCGCTTGATATAGATATGTGCTGTTTTCTGACTGAAGTATTCAGTTTCTCATCAAATGTACTTTTGTTGACATAATCAAACCCCGCACAATTTAAGATCCCAGGTTTATAAATTTTCAATATTTATTTTGTTTGCTGTGATGGCACTGTATTTTAAATACATCATGTGTCCTGGTTCCTGGATTTTACGTATAACTCTTAGTGAGTTAATATTATTGAGTGAATATGTAAATCTATTCGTCAAACTCTCACTGACTCCAGCTGACTGTTATTGTAATATTCGTTACTAATTTTACAGTCATTAGATTAAGTCCCACGTTTGCCCAGTGAACTCGCCCACGGTTATTTGAACCATTAAAATTTATTTAAGTATCTCGTTTGATCAAATATGATAAGATACATTTCATTATCATTTACTACCTAGTATGATTGCCTAATTTACTATCTTACTACTGACTGATGCATTCATACACATGTGAATCTTTTACTCCATCCCTTCCATTTAGGTCTAGATAATCAAGTAGTATCATCAGGCCTTAATAACGAGTGTGACTGAAAGCCAAGTTTTCAGTTACTGAACCGTGGTGAATTAATTTCGAATTTAACAAAACACTTTAAATAGCCTTCGTCATATCGATGTTCCTAATACTGTTAGTTTTAATAACGCACTAAATTTGACTGGGTTTTATTGGGATGCTTATTTTTAAAACGAAAATTAGACTTTCTTATCTTACACCCGATACTGTACGTAAGCCACCGTGATACACGTAGCTTCCAGAATAAACATACAATATCTTAACAGAACCTATGAATACAGATCACATTAAAAGTGAGTTGAAGAAATAATATTGATAAAATCGTTACCAACTTTGATTTCCGACAGTGACTCATCATATTCAGGATCTATACCAGGTTCTGGAGTGATTCGACCTTCCCTTTTAGCTTTTTCAGCATCGAAAGCATTCTGTAAAATATTTGATATGAAGAGAAATCAGAGTAATTGTGAAAATCTGTAGTTGAACAAAACAAAACATAGCAACATATTAGAATAACTTATTCCTTATTTCTTAAGATAGTACTATTTGGACTTTAAATAAAAGTCTATTTCCTCATGTGGAAACCCTTACATTTTCATTAGTTCGTTAGTGAAGATTCAAACTGTTTTTTTGAGTTACAGTGATTCAATATTAACTTCAATCATTTCCAAATAACGAACTGATAAATTGGCTGTTTATAAAAAAGTTGATTAAAGGAAGATTTTTATTAGTTGTCGAGAATTCCATCAAAATTAATTGATAAAGAAACTTGGATTTCAAAACGTATACCTCAACGTTCGCTAATTGTTAAAGAGATACGAACAATGAAACTTATTCAATATGGATAAAATTACAGAGTAAATGAAGACAAACTCAGCACATTTAATATAATGTTGTAGAGGAATATATAGAAATTCAAATAATTATTTAAAAAAGGAGAAGATAAACACCTGTCTAAAGTACAGTATTTGAATCGAAGATAAAAGGAAATTTTAGTAAACAGTCTGTTTGGATCCTAGGATTGATATTAGAAAAGATTAATTAACGCGGCCAATTAGTGAATATAACTATACAAAGACAGGCATGATGAAATATAGCGTTGTGTGACATAATCAGCGCGATAAATTCAAGTATTTCAGACAAAGAACTGTATGCACGAAATATAGAAATGGTGCTGTTTGGACTTGTGCTCCTTAAAAATTGATTTGACCTCCATAGCAGTTTGTACTACAAAGTGAGTGGATAACACCCAGTAAGTCAAAATGAATTGATCTAGCACGTATATATATATATATATATATATATATATATATATATATATATATATAATCGGTTTGGAGTAATTTCTTTGGACTAAAATAGTCTATACTCGTATCTAGTCGCCGCTTACTCTGATACAAGGTCAAATAAGATTATTGACGATAAAAAGCTAAGGATGGTCAGAACAAGCAATAGAAAAAATCCACAAACCTAATTACTCTAGATTTGTGACAAGTACGAACGTGTAGACTTTTGTGTTTGCGAACTCTGTAGGAATCGAATATAATCACAATTTATTTTCCCATACATTTCAAATGGGTGCAAAATTTATATGATAATTAGACGTTAGTACTAAGCATTTCTATCAAGTAGCGAATTATTATAGAATGATGAGGAAATAAACTGGGTAAAGGTGAATTAATGAGAAAAACTTTGAAAAAAAACATTGAAATGTGTTAGACAAGTATAGGCCCGATTGGTAATAATTGACAATTGACCGTCTAGACAAATGTGTCATAGTTCTATTTGGTCAAATATGAAGGTTCAACTCTTCAACCTACATAGGTTCAACATATCTCTTATCACTAGTTCGAAAAACGGAGTACTTGAAAAAGAAAGATAAAAGAAAGTATAGGAAGTTATATAGTTTGTAAGAAGGAAAACAATTAAAACAAATCAAAAGGACAATAGAGAAAAATTTTCACAAATAGAATTTAACAGTTTAGAAAGCTAATAACACACATCTTTCAAACATACTTTAAAATAATTTATTTTCTCAGTGATATCAGGAAAGTTGCCACCCAGATTAGTTAGAGTCACTAATTTTTTCAAATATGCGGAGCTAAAATTATGGATTAAAAATACACATCAATCTTCAGGTATATTTAACAATAAAAAAATGGTACTACATCTGAGTAGCGATCACTGATTAAGTTAACAGATACTCAAGACAAAGGAAACTGCTGCATTTACGATTTTTGTGATATGTCAGTACAATTTATTAAGTTCAGACGAAAGAATAAATAAAAATATCTTGTCTATTAAAGAAAACATAAGGGATACACACCATAACTTGACTGAATTATTGCTTCTAACAGGGTACGTAGTTGTTAAGGACACAAGAAAACAGCAATTTTTTCTCCATATAATGAATCTCTCAAAGAGGGTAGTCGTTTCGAGAGATCTGATCATGTCTCTCTATTACACAAAATTATGGAATACAGAAAATCATATTTGAAGGAACTAATTTCGTTGTAAGATATCAAGAGTAACTCTCTAGTAAATAAATAAACTGTGTGATTAGAGAGTATAGGTTTATCAACACCTTATCGTGTTTACAGAAGTTATATCCCTAATGTAAACAAGAAATAAATTTCTAGGTTACTGAAGTATAGTGAAATGGTTTTCCATAAGTAATTAGTGACTAGTTTTTTTTTAGAAATATTTATGATTAATAAATTCACAAAACAGAACTACCTAAAAACATACGCACTAGGCAGTGTTTCAATTGAAATCCAACGTGAGTTATATACTAATAAATTGTAACACGAGCAACTTCTAGGATTAAACTATTAGTCAAAACATAGATACATCGAAAGAATATGATTATTTATAGTTTGTCATTGACTGAGACGATTTTCCAAACATGTATCAAATTACGTTTATATCAGTCTCTCGACTTCAAATCAACGTTGAGAAAATCAACAATATAAATTGTTTTGCCAAGCTCTAAATAATTTTAATCTTTCTCAAATCCATATTTAATTTGCTATGCAGTCCAATGTTAGCAGGGTTAACAATCGCAATCTGAGAGTTGAAAAACTTTTCGTAATTCTTAAATCATATCACAGTACTTTGTAATATTAAATAATTATGTTATTTATCTTGTGATAACTTCAAATAAAGTTTGTTAGAAAGAATGGTATGAGCATCAACCTGGCGTTATTGGTCATTAACATAATCCTGAATATTAGTGTTCCAAACTTACTCCAGATCAATATGAATACATGCACGTTTCCATTTAAACACGTTCATAACATCACCGCGTCCATAGAGCAATATCATTTCTTGAAGTATCAATCAGTTTATGAGCAGCTTTGAAGATCCGAGAGTGGAAATTAGATCTTGTTGATAAATCCTAATTTTTTAGATTGATGTTTACCGAAAAGAAGTTTCTTCTGTCCCCCATCTTCTAAATGGTATCCAGCCGGAAATGTCTAGAAGCCGCAATCGCAAGGCTCGATCGGTTTCCAACAGGGAACATAACCCGACTTCCCAAGTCATAAAAAACACTTCGGAATCGCGCAGTATGTTGGAAGCGACTATGGTTGCTACTCCAACCAATGTTGACGAACAGGTACAGATTGTAAACAAGAAACGACATAAGGATATAAAAGGGAATCCTGCCTCCATCAACGTAGTCGAGAAATTGAAGACTAATCAGAGTGACAGGTCAGTTATTTTTCATAGAATCAATGAGAGTGAAAGCTCTGAACAGAAAACTCGTTTTGAGCATGACATTGTGATGATAAAACAGCCACTTGATCAACTTATGCCTCCAAATATCTCCCGAGTCACCCTAAAGGTGTATAGACTAGGTAGTCTAGCGAAATTGAAGCCTAATCAATACAGACTACTTAAAGTAGTATTCAAATCTCCTAATGAATGCGACTTCATTTTACAGACTAGACATAAATTAAAGGGTTCAGGAGTTTATGTCCGTAAGGAATTGCCGCTGGCAGACCGTGTAAAAAGATTGGAAGCCGAAAAAGAACTATAACTTAGGTTAGACACTGGCGAAAAGAAACCTGACCATTGTAAATGTTCGGGTTGTGAGGCTGCAACAGAGAATGATGCCGAAGCCACTCTGTGTGAATCACGAAGCCATTTAAATAGGCTTCGGATTTGTTACACTAATGCCCAAAGCTTGCTCAATAAGCGATAAGAATATAATCGCAGTCACAGAAACTTGGCTGACACAATCTATAGATAGTATGGAACTTGATCTCGATGGTTTTACGTTAGTAAAGGTCGACAGAATACAAAAGCGTAAAGGGGGGGAGTAGTTCTATTCATTAAGAATGCTATCCCATTCACCATCATCAAAAGTGTATCCCATGAGTGAGACGTGTGAATTAGTTAGTTGACGATTGGAATTTCAGGGACAAGAGATGCTGATTGGTTTAATCTACCTTAGTCTAAGCTGTGAGTTAAATGAGGTCCGGCTAAGCAGTCTCAATACTTGATCACAAAGTGGTCGATGTCTAGTCCTAGGGGACTTTAATGCACTCATGGTAGACTGAGGAAATCTGCGAACTGAATAGTCAGATAATTACTTTGAACAGGAATTAGTTGATGCGGTTATCACATGTGCCCTAGTGCAACATGTGAAAGAAGCGACCAGGTACGACCTGGACTGTGAATCATCCTTATTAGATCTTATATTGACTCACTATGAGGATGAATTTGCTAACCTGGATTACATGCCACCCTTAGGTAAAAGTGATGGGTTTCATTATAACTGTCAATCACGAGCATGCGCCAGTTCAATCCAGACCTAACGTGTGGAAAGCAAACATACAAGATATCATTCACTCAGCATCGTCAGTAGATTGGACAATAGACCCAGAGTCCTCAAATGAAACGGCTCGGGACGTATTTCGAAACTTATACTTAGAAGTTACCGCATCCCACATCCTTTGGACTACACCTAGGGGGCCGAGAAACTCTCCACTATGGTTCAGTAGGGAGGAAACTCCAAAAAAGATCACAAGCCCAGGACAAATAACCTGTCAGCTGACTGTTGACTTTCCCATCGAATCATCAACGAGTGGAGTTCATTACCTCAGCACGTGGTTGAGGCTCTATCCGTCGATTCTGTCAAAAGAAAGTTGGATCAACTGACAGACCAACATTGCCAGGATTAACACAGGCTATTAAGCCTCCTGTCCTTTCAAAACTGAAACTGAAACACATAAACCAATGCCAAGTTTACAAGTTATTCATAATACTACTTTTAATGACTGAGAATAAAACAATCTCACTATCTTAAGCTGATCTGCCTCACTAAACATACGAACTAGTGTTTATTATTTTCTTTCTTTTGAAAACGCTTCTCTGTCAACCGAAACAAAATTTTACTGTTTTCCTAACATAAGTCAGTTCATGAAGCGAAATTATCAATCAGCATGGATTTGATAAAAGGATCTGTTGCTAGTAAACTTAAAAAAATACTTGCCGATCGAGAATATACTAATTCATATATTAAAAATTAAAAACACGAATTTCAGTTTTCCGGAAGTATTAACGTCCTTAATACGATCAATAAATTGAAAAGCATCATGAATAGAATATATAGAAACTTGTCTTCTAACTGGTTCCAATTTAACAGCCAACCATTGGGCGATTCGGTGGTAGGGTGAACTCGACATATCCAAAATAGGTTGTAACGGTAAACCAGGTTTATTTACTTTTGATAATCTATATAAGCGCGGGATGATTGAACTCATTGGACGTATGTGATCATATAAATCTGGGGTTATTATCCTCTTATTCTTAAGATTTTTAACAACATCCGCTAGCTGTTTTTCGATTTGCAGTGTTTTGTCTACGTTTCCCTTAGGTTTGGAAAATTTAGTAACACCTTCTAGGATTAACTTCATTTTACCCAAATATCCTTGGCGGTCAAGCAGCTCCTTTGTCATGTTTACTTAGGATTAATCCCTTATTTCTTTTCAGGAGCATTCGCTCGTCCAAATGGTTCTTAGTTAATAAGTTATTTTTACTACGTTGTATATTAATGTATCCATGACTACAGTTCAGTGATGTGGATTTAAAATGCTGAAGATCTTGTGGGGATGTCGGCACAAGATCATTAGTTTGATGTGATAGATTTTCGGACACCTAATCGACTGTAACCATTCTACTGATTCATTGTTTGATTTTAAGGTTGTTTATATGATTTTTCTGAAATCTACCTAGATTTCTTAGTATCCAACTTCTAAAAATAGCCGAAGCTCTTACTATCCATGAGCTCAAGCCAGAACTATCCATACAAAAGAAGTACGTCCTGTAGTTATCGTTATCTTGGCCTTAATTAATATTATTATTACTATTATTATTAATGCGCTCCCCTTTATTTATGTCTCATTATTTTATTCATAAATGATTATCATATCACCTTACTTATTTTTACACCTCTATGACCTTTAGTGGCCTTTAATTATTGTAACTAAAATAATTTTTATCATCTTATTATATTCACTAAATCTATTGTTATTATTCGTGTTACGTAATCTAGCATTACAATCTTCCTATTACGCCATCTTGGTTATTAATGTTCAAATTTCCTCACGGAATTAGCACTTTAACAAAAAAATTTTCATATATATACGATTGTAAAGCTTGATAATAAATCCATTGAAAAGAGATCCCTTCGCTGAACCTTATGTTTTTAATTTTTAATGTTTAAATAGGAAGGGAGACTGGTAGGTCCTGGGTTCGAATCTCGCGAGTGCAGGATCGTGGGTGCGCACTGCTGAGGAGTCCCATCATAGGAAGAAACGGCCGTCCAGTGCTTCCAGGTTTTCGATGGTGGTCTAGCTTTAATTGACTCATGATTTCAAATATGAAAATACTGAAATCTCCACAAAACCCCTTCTGATCGAAATGGGAATTATCTGTTAATTCATATATCTAGTATTGGCATAAATTATTTAAAACTAACCTTAATGGATAATGATTGATTTCATTAATTATTTTGTAGCTTAATTCAAAACCATCTAAAGTAGCCACAAAATCGATAATATTTTTTCTTGAATATTGAACTTCTTCAAATATGATTGCCCTGCTATCTGGATGGTTTTTATCACCTTTAGAACCCAATAAATGAATTCTGAAGGGGAAAAATATCGAAATGTTAATTCGTTTATATTAAAATAACATTTTACAAAAATTACTGGAGGCATTTCTTTGTAGTGACAAAAATAAATATCAGTGTATTTTTAAGGTAAAAAGTAGATTTGATTAGAATCAGGATATAACTTCTTAAAAAATCAACAAAAACAAACTTACTTTGTAATAAGACGCTCCAAATCAGGCAACTGAGCTAATTTTTCTCGAAGTTTAGGAATTATATCACTGACAGAAATAAGATTTTCAATTGCTAGTTGTCTTTGTCTAATAACATTTGGGTTGCATGGTGGAGCAGTTATCCACTGACGCAACAAACGACGTCCTTACGAGAGAAACCGAAATGTAAGAAAATTGTGTTAAATACATATGAAACAGGAACCGATAAGTGCCTTTTCAATATTCATTAAATATTTAGGATAACAGCAGCAATTACTTCTAGCATCCGTAAACTATATTTTTAAGCAACTTCATAATATGAAAGAAATTACTTGAATTTGTAGCATAGCAGTGATAGTAAACGTAAGAAAAATACTTCAACAAGTCATTCTGTGTAAATAGGATTTCTGGCTAATAATAAATGATCATTTCAATTATTATAAAGTTATCACATATATAAGGAATAAAACATTAAATAAAGATAATATATTTGTAAAATCTCATTCTCTGAGATTTTACAAATATGTTATTCCCTATTTAATGTTTTACATTAACTCGGCGCTCAAATACTGTGAAACTATTCGCTCTAATTTAGACGAAAGTTCTTATATAAGGAATAAAAGTTGCTTTTAGTCATTACTGTTAATTTTGAAATCGTCTCGATAATGTTTATAAATCCGGTATTTTAAATGGCTAAAAATCACAACAAAATTATATTGGCTTGAAAATTTGACACACTTTTCATAAAAGTAAATTTATTCTTATTAGTTTACACAAAATTAGGTTCTCCATAGTATGTTTTTTAATACGTTGTAACTGAATAGTTCGATTTCTAGATATCAACGTGAATGACTAACTTGATTTGAGGGAAGACAAAGAACGAATACGTGTGCTTCATCGCAAACAATTTTGAGCCATGTCATTCAAAATCTCTAACCATTGGTTATGATAATCACGAGAACCCCAACTGGGTTTTGAACTATTAGTTTTATAATCGTTCGAGATCGATTGTTTAGAAGATACTTGTAGTTATGTTTTTAAAAATCACAACAATTGAAATTAAATATCGTCAACGTTTCACCTTTCGGTGTTGTCCCAGCCTCAAAGAAATAATCAAAATAATGTCATACTAAGGGTATGTACTACACGATTGTCCACTCATGTTAGACTGTTGAATATCGTTCTTAGTGTGTGAATGTGAGTCATCTGATGTGAAATATGTTCAAATTGTAGTAACTGAAGAAATGCTTGTATCTGTATGCTACTATTACTTGAAAATCATTAACTGTATGTGCCGTTAATTTCTGGTCATAATCAAGTTAGTCAATTCATCGTTTCATTTATTTGTGATGAATTGACTAACTTGATTATGACCAGAAATTAACGGCACATACAGTTAATGATTTTCAAGTAATAGTAGCATACAGATACAAGCATTTCTTCAGTTACTACAATTTGAACATATTTCACATCAGATGACTCACATTCACACACTAAGAACGATATTCAACAGTCTAACATGAGTGGACAATCGTGTAGTACATACCCTTAGTATGACATTATTTTGATTATTTCTTTGAGGCTGGGACAACACCGAAAGGTGAAACGTTGACGATATTTAATTTCAATTGTTGTGATTTTTAAAAACATAACTACAAGTATCTTCTAAACAATCGATCTCGAACGATTATAAAACTAATAGTTCAAAACCCAGTTGGGGTTCTCGTGATTATCATAACCAATGGTTAGAGATTTTGAATGACATGGCTCAAAATTGTTTGCGATGAAGCACACGTATTCGTTCTTTGTCTTCCCTCAAATCAACACTCATTGACATTTATTATAGTCAATTCTTGTTACATGTTATTTGTCTATACTCGGATCATAAAACAAATTATACAAATACAAACAATGACATACCAAAGAAGGTACAACAAGTATTGAGACGTTGCAACAAAGAACCTTCTTGAGAACCATCTACATTGTTTCGTATGATATCCAAATTAGATAATGTAATATTGTCCAAAACCTGCATATATGATTTTATCCACACGACAAAAATAATTATTTTAAGAGCAAATATATTGAATAACATGGTATATCGAAATGCAAGTTTAAAAAAATACTATCTATGACAGTTAAAAATTGACTAGCCTACTATCCTTCAAAAACACTTGCAGAAAACCATTAGTTTCCATCGTCAAGAAGTGGGCTGAAATCAGGACATAAAGTTGAGCAAATTAAGTATGTACAAAGGTTGTAGTAATCTGCAAAAATGTATTATAATTTGCTTAGATTCACTTGGAGTTGTTACAGCGGAATTCCATAATGTTCATTATACTACTTTGTCTTTGCTGATTAGTAAGAATAACAATAGGAAATGATACCTTTATGAATTATTGAGTGAAGACAGCATCCAAAGGTGTATAAATTAATGATAAAAACCAAAATGTTTAAACTCGGGTTAGAAAAACTCTATAGAAGCTATTGTTTAACAATTGATTTTAATAATTTTACTCTGCATATGAATATTTTAATGGTTAGTGGCAAAATTACTCATGAAACTAATTATGTTTAGTTCAGGACTTGTCAGCTGAACGTATATGTACCTTAATGACGTCTTCAGTGACACTTAAACTCAGTACTCATTATCTCGCACAACAGATTGTGATTCATCGAGTTTCTGGATAACAACGTCCATCAGCCCTTAATGCCCTGATATAGTTGAGGGTGGGGAGAACCCGCTCTCTCTTTCGAAATGCTCTCACATGACCTCACATATAGTCACTGAAAAGGAAGTCCTACTCAATGCCTTCTTGCGGTGGGGGTTTTTTCACGAAATTAAGAGGATGAAAAGAAAATGACTCTTTAACCTGATTAATGGGTACAGAGGATCTACGTACAGGAGTTGGAAAACCCTGATCCCAAACTAATGGTGAAAACAGGTTCCAAGATACTGAGGAAACAAATGGCGTATGAACCTATTGTTGTTCACTGGCTACCATAGGACTATACCTTTTAACGTAATCTCTTCAAACATAGAATGGAACACCGCCACCCTTAATGCAAGGCCACAATTGTAGTGTTTCTTGATATTAGGGCCGCCTTCAATTCGTTGGACAGGGCTGTTATCCGAGATTGTTTATTGAAGAAGGATGTGCCTGAGATGTTTATTAACATCATTAAAGCCCTATATACAAACATCTCAGGCAGAGTAATGACATACAACTATCTTTCTTCATTGTACCATTCAAGCAGTGTGGTTAGGCAGCACTCCCCAATCTCATTATTCCTCCTCAGTGTTTTAATTGATGGCATTCTGGAATCATCTCTGATGGATATAGGTAATGGTAGTGTGAATCTGTTGCCTGGAGAAAGATTTTTCGACATTGAGTACGCAGATAATATTGTCTTACTATGTGATAAGACTCAAGCCATGCAAACTGCATTTAGTCATTTGGCTATGTGTCCATAGGTATGGCATGTGCTTTGCACCTTCCAAGTGCAAAGTACTTTTACAAAACAAGCAGAACCCTGAACCTGCACTCCCCCTGGGTAGTGACGGATTAAGTAGTCAAGAATTCGTGTATCTGGGTAGCTGTGTAAATGCCGGTGCGTGAGATTATATCAATTCACTTATGGTGGAAGCCAAGGACAATCTGGTCCATATTTGGCGCCTTCGTGATGTTAGACTGGGTGTAAAAATGTCGGATCCACAACACATCGTTAAAAGAGCAGTTTCGCTCTCTGTTTGTGAAACCTGACCTCTCCGAGTTGAGTATGTTAAACGACTCTATGTTTGATTATCGCTATCTCCGAAAGAGTGCTGTCATCCAGTAATTGAACGTTCGACGTTGTGTGTTCAGGCACAGAGGCGGTAGTTTAGTTGATGTCACCATCTCGAAACGTCGACTTCAGTGGCTTGGACATACACTGCGAATGTAGTCCCAGAGCGTTTCACTATGTGTATAATTTGCCTACGCTGGGACCGGTCAGAAAAAGCGGAGAGGTGGTCAGTGCATGGCGTGGTATCATGGTATGAAAGAAAGCTGTACAGCACTGGCTTCTGTTAGTCCTTCACGACTCCCTGGCTGGGATCCTAGAGATGGTACAACACAGTGACTTGACACGTTACCAGATATGGCTTAGAAAAGCCTATCGTGATCCTGCTGTAACTTTCTTTTACCTTCTTCACAAAGGTGAACGTAACTCCTCTTACTGGAAGAATTCTTTCTGGTCGTATTTTTCTTAACCGAACTGCTTCTCCTATTATTGTTATCATCACCATTATCATTGTTATTATTACTAATATTATTATTATTGTTTCACTCTCATACACTAATTTCTGTTCACTGTTGCTCTTCTTTCACTATATTCACTCTCTATCCTCTCTCTTCACAACCTCATTGTTATTGTGTGGAGCATAGGTTATTTGTCACCTCCTTGTACCAATGTTTATGTGTTCAAATAAATAAACTTTCAATAGTTCTGAACAACAAAACTAGAATACGTATTTCATTGCTATCCCCTGCCCAAAGCATAATAAATACGTAAACGCAAATGATGCCAAGAAATTTGTACAAGGAACCCAAACAACAAAAATTATTGGTTATTTCAGTTCTGAATACCAACAACGAAAAACATCAAAACTCATAAGTAATCAAATTTCTTCAACGAAAATGCAATACTTAAGAAAAACTCGGAAATGAACAACGGTCCACAGTCAAAAATCCAAACATGAGTGTAAAAACTGTGAAGTGAAAACATACATATGAAATGAAAAAAATTCCAAAACGGATGATCAGTTTACGTTTGCAATAACTAGTAGCAACACGGATACAGAGAATGAAATGGAAAATGAAGATCCTAGCTATACTAAAAAGCTGTGATAAGATGGTGGTTGGAGGTAGTCACCAGAATATCCTGGACCTAGGTTTCCTGTTGACTACCTCCAACCACCATCTTATCTCAATATATTGCACGCAATGTCGAATCGCCTTAACTAGTGGCCACATCGAAACTTGGTCGATAGGATTTGATCTGCACTAAAAAGAACCTAACATTGATCACAAACAGTGACCAATCAATTGTAAATAAAAAGCTATGAGAAAACAAGACGCTAAATAAAAACTAAAGGATAAAATTCTTCTCCTTGAAAATTCTTGTCATATACTTTGTTCTTAGTTGTATCATTAACCCTATTTACGAAGCCTGGGGTTGTTTTATTTATTTACCTGTTCGAACATAGGTACGATGTTAGAAAAGGCGGAGAGCTGGTCAGTACAGATCGTCTAAACCAAATGTATGGATTTTTTAATAATAACTCATGTCCTGACGTCATGATTATAAGACTATTTTATTTCTACATTAGTACAAGCTATGATGTAGAAATATGGATAGAGTAAGTAGTATGTACCTAATGATTGAGGTGGTGATATGACAATGGGAAATCGATAAACACATCACAAAAAAACAAGTTTAAAAGTGGCAGACGTAATGATCTTGGTTTTACTCAATTTGGTTAAATGTCAAAAGGGATGTATAGAAATCAGTCGATCGAGATTTAAACCAATTAATAATAGACACATCAATTGATGTTTTAGTACTACGTCAATAAGAAAATCACCATCAATAGTTTAGTTCCTTCTTTGGACTGTGGAAACAAAATAAAAACCACTCATTTGTTGTGTTTAATGTGTTCAGGAAAACTGATCACTGATACGGCTGAAAACTCAGTAGTTAAAGACTTGACTGGGATTTAAAACTTAAATGCATTTCAGAATTTTAAACTTACCATCTGAGACTGTGTATCATAAAATAATTCAATAGAGCCAGGACTTCTTTGAGAGTTAGCATTCTTCATATCTATTGGTACGTATACATCAATGAAACCCAGTGATAGTACTTCCCGATCAATCAAACAATATCGTAAGTAGTAAATAAGTGCACCAAGACACCGGAACGCTAGTTCCCACTCTGACTTTACGGTACGTCCTAGTGGATCATCTGATCCGAAATAATTAAAAAAGGCAATATTCGTTACAAGAACTTTGCGAAGTATTACTGAGTATTTTAAATATAAAATTATACTAAGTGGAGTTTCAGTGAGTCCTATTTGCTTTGTTGAAAATGTAATGAAAAAGTCTAAAGATGATTTCACAGTCAGAAAACTAGGAAATTTAACCTACCCACTGGTTATAGGTTTACAAAAACGTAAAGAGATCAAAACTGACGTGGGTAGAATGTCATAGGAATAAGTAACCAATTCAAAAATCGTACTGCAATGATACTATTCATACGTTTAAGTGAAAGGTATGACTGTGTAACACAAAGTTATAATATTCTATATCAGACAGTGACAAATGTGCTTCTGGTTATACTGCCGACCATCCAATTCTCCTGATGCAGTGGAACCTCAAGTAAAAACATTATAACTAATGTGATTTGGACGTTGTCGTTCTTTAAAGTGATGATAACTGCCACCTACGACCGAATGTAATCTCCAATCCTAAGAGATGTGCATACGAAAACTACAGAATAAATATATTAAAACCGATTCCCACACAACTGATACTGCTTCTTATACACTTGATTGATTTTTACTAAAATGAGGAGTGAAAATTACTTACATCACTACCTGAACTCAGACTAGTGTATTCGGCTTTGAATTACATTTCGAATCTAAGCGATGTTGGTATCAACAAGAATTCCAAACCAAAGAAATTGGAATGAGACTTGAACTTCAACCCAGTGGTTGAAAGTTTGACATCTTAACCATAATTAGTTATGACACCGAAAAGTCTTTTTTTACTACTTACTTTGGCAGGGAATTTCTCAAAATATAACTAAACTTTTGATTAAGTGTTGAGAGAATGTCAGTTGTTATTCAAGACGATCAGTTTAGAAAGTGACTGGGTGTGACTAATTCATGATGTATCTCCTACATCTTATTGGGGGTTCATATCCCCAAAATAAATGTTTGAACACAATGAAAATCCAAATGAGAAATTGATGTGAACAGACGACAAGAAAAACGTTGAACTTTTATTGCATTAGTTGAAACCAATGGAATAAACATAATCGTCATTCTGTTACCAAGATTTTGACAAATCTGTAACTGCAAAACAAAGACCAACTAGAACGAAATTTCAAGAACAACATTAAACATATCGTAACGAACCTTCGGACAACATGTTTAAGAGAACATCTGGCCAATTTTCTTTGTCAGGAAACGAAGATACTTTAGAGACATGATTCGGATCAACGGTGTTGGACGTCTGTTTTGGGAAATAATCAGCTGTCTCCAGCTCTTGAACAGTGTTCTTTGCACTCCAAAACTGTTTCGTTGGAGTTAGAAACTCAGTTGGAACACACGAAAGAGATGTTTTTATCAAGGATTTTATAGCTGATCCTGCAGTTCCGCGCTCGATTAGTAACTGATAAAAAACATCAAACCTTTCTATTAATTTTATTAAATCATCAGTAAATTAACTTGCTTGAGTGGTTGTGTATAGTACCTTCATTTTTATTTAGATGAACGATCTAATCAAGCTGGCCTTTTCTGTTAGTTATATAAATTCCCAAAGTAGTTTACTTAACTGAAGTATATCGACTGATAAGGTCTCGAAAGCATCGTTTGGAACGGGAGGGAAGTACTACACTTGATCGACAATTATTTGGTTTTAATGGAGCGAAAAGATGAAATATCAGAGTGATGAGGTAGAGTTCTAGGATAAACCAATTCAAGAACTGAACGTATAACTTGAAGTGAGCTTCTTGATTGTATATGTGAGAAAGCAGAAGCTGGTATTATGAGATACTAAGCTACACAGTTTAACTTTTTAGATCATTACTACAACACCTGCGACTTTTTTTATTAAATCATCAGTTATTCTCCAAATTTTCACATGATTGTGCTATCACTTCTTCATACTAAGCCGAGTATAATGGTAATGGGACATTTCATCAGATCATGTTTCTAGGAAGAACAACAGCAGATTTTCCAAATAAATCTTGTTTTAATTGTTAGTACTAGATTGGTCAAATTTCTACTCACCAGTCGTTTAACAAGTGACTATTGAATATTGTGAAAGATATTAACCGATCAGTCACTGATCTTTCCTAAAAGGAATTTCATCTCCATAAATACTTCACTTACATCAAACTCATATGTGATAAAGTTATTTCAGACGTTTTAGTCTTTCACATTTATTTGAAAAAGAACTAAACACTTGACCTTTTTATTTTCGGTGCAGTATTTGAATCATTAAGCTATAAAGAAAGAACAAATGAAAATTTCCAGAGTTTGTCGTTCAACCTTACTTTTATTCTGACGTTTTCATAAACTTTAATGTGATAAATTTTAACTCGCCGATACCTAATTATTAGATGATTAAAAGTCGAGAGCATTAGAATAATTGTGTTAAACATATTTGAAGTGACCTTTTAGTGAACTAGGAACTGTACGCTTATAACGATCAAAAATCTTCCATTTCTTATAGGGGGCCGTCTGGTCCTAACTGGTATCTAATATTTAAAAACTTTAATTGAAATTTAGTAATTCTACTACCCTTGTAAATATAGATAACTCTCTTGCCATTAGTGAATTAAATGACTTCGAAAACATTTTATAAACGGCCTAGCACTTAATTACATCTGATGTGTGACTTGCACATGAATATTGCATGCGGAAATTTTTAAGATTTGGTGTAGTACGACTCAGTCAATGTGGCTACAAAAAATTTAGTAAACCCCTAATTACATAATGACAAAGTCATCCACAAATTGAATAAATGTGGATAGAATATATAGTGGGTTTAGACATTTCCGAGTCAAAAAGCAAGTAAATGATGACGTAAAACAAGAAACACCGATTTCTTTGCATGCGACCGGAGACCAAGGTACTTGGGAATAACATTTGGAACAGAAAATTATTAGAGTAAACAATGAAAGGGGTGACACAAAGTGAACAAATGCCAATGCTAAGTATCTAACACAAAACAAAACACACATCTTACCTGGTTAGGAGGATAGTGGGATAAGAATGTACGTAATCGAGAGCAGTGACGATCATCTAAAAACTGACCAATCTACTTTGGTAGTGTAAAGCCGAAGGCAACTTACATTGATTTTGCCAGTGGATGCATTCAATAAGCCTATTCCGAAAGCAAAAGGGTAACTTTTATCACCATGTGATTCTACAACAGCAAGTAAAAATGAATCAGGATGGGCTAAGTTTATTAGGTCCCTAAAGCCCTCGTCGCCATTTTCAACATCACCAGTCTCCACAGCTTTTACATCAGATATCTCTGACCTCGTACTGGCTGTGCAAGTACCTGGTGTTATAATTTGACATACTTCTCTTCGCACAACCTTCTCGCTTGAAGATTTTCGTTTGCATCGTTCATTCATAGCATCAATTGACTCCGTTTGTTCAATGCGAGCAACCTTGTAACCCTTGGTTTTAAATAACGCACAAGAAACTAAGAAACCTACTTTACGGACAAGCTGATCAGCCATACGAGGAAAAGCCACTTCAGGAAATCCACAGTGTGCAAAGCTCCCCTTCATAAACACCAAACCAAGCTCTTTTACGCCAATCATAGCATCCATGTGGTACATTTCATAAAACTTGCCAACCTTAAAAAACAGAATTACGTCAGTGTATTGCGACTTTAATTCCCACCACTGCCGCATGCCAGGAGTTTGTTTAGTCTAAAGCACTGAACAAAAGAACTCGTGTGCAAACCTTAAACTCCTCTGGAACATATAATGTGTGTGAGTCATATTCTGGATGATCAGGCCTTCGACCATTGATGTCTTTGATTTTAGAGGGTTCCAAAAATGGAAGGCTTAAGTGAGTCCATGAAACACTTTCATCTTCAAAAGCTTCATTGACCTGCGCGACTACACTCGTTTCAAGAAGAGATTCGTCTGTTGCTTCATTTATCTTTTTGCCATTTTGTCTGACTGGCTGCGGGGAGAATGAATAATGTGATAACTGTTAATAAAATAACAGGGCAGTAACATCACTTACATCATGCTTATTTACCGATTCCGTCTTCTCTTTTGAGAGAACAGAAGCCTCATCTTCATCATCACTGGACTCAATGATAACCCGTCGTCTTTTGCTAACGGACGAAGTAGTGGGGCTGGACATATTCTAACATTAGATGTATTAAGTTTGAGGTGATGGACTTTACTTCATCATCGCATTCACCGGGTGGTCTCAGGAATGCAACTGGAGAGTTTGTGCTTTTTGAGGATTCTGGGCAGATTTTGTTTGAAGTTTCAGACAAAGGTTTAGGGGAACGCGTAAAGAAAGTCAAAAGGCTCTTTTGCATTTTTTAGGATATTAAACTTCGTGGTTAAATGAGAATCAAGTCCTATACTAGTCGAATTTAGGTAATCTACAAATTAGGAAACACAAACGAGTCATGATAAGTCAAAACCCACTAAGAACATACCGAACTGCTTTACAATCACAAAGTCCCTAAAACCCAATTGCGCGCATCGGCACAAGGTCTGTTCTGTTGCCGGTGAAAAAGAAAAAGGAAAGTGCTCATTGAATAACAATAATATGTAATGTACAGTTATGTAATGTACAGACATTTAAAGTTTTATTTTGCATTCTTGTGACTCGGTTTCCAATACATCTAACATTTGAGTGACTAGTTAATGTCAACCGACTGGTTTATTTCCATACACATTCTAGTTAGAAAATAAAGTTCCGTGTATACATGGTTGTTAAGTCTATTAAAATTAGCTACTGAGGACTCTGTAGTCACAACCAACGAGAAAGCACTCAAAGTAAGATCAATGTGCAATATTAGAGCCGTGAGTTTATAAATGTCTTCTATCTTCACATCGCAATAGATTGGAGGTTGTCTTGTGAACAGGCAAACTGTTCGTATATGTTGATTTCTAATTGTATCTGTATTCGTGGGATAACTAAAACAACAGAAGAACAGCAGTGGAGAGGAAGGATTCCTACTAGAGTTCCGGTTCGCTAGTTAAGTTTGACATTCCTTAATCAGTTACAGGGAGAAGTTCTTGATCTCATGACAAAATTTAATATTACTGCTAATACAAAGGAACTGATATCAAAAATGACTTTATTGCTTGAAAATACAGATCATCATATGAATTTCAAGCGGACACCTAACGGTAATTCGTGCTGTCGTTGGAGACACGCTCTAGACTCAATGTTCTGAGTTCCAATAAACCAGTAGTTTATATTTATACTTACTGGTTTTATGGCGTAAATAAACTAATTGCAAACACCAAGTTTGGCACAAAGTTGAAATGTACTTATTTGAAATGTAGTGATCGTAATTTGTTGGATTTGACAAAGCTTATATTGTAGTGCCGCGATTCGTTAATCGTTTACTTCGATAACCGTTATGATTCTAATCTTAACGGCGCGTAAAATCAGAAGACAAAGGATAGCAGCAACTACAGTTTATTGTCGAATAACTCAGGTCAGAAAGTTAACAACATCTGAGCGAGTGAACAGGCGAACAAGCGAAGGAAACGAACGAGGAGCAAGCGAGCGAATAGCAAGCAATTACATAGGCAATTTATAGTCAAATTTAATAAGGGAACAGCAAAGCAAAACAAAGGCTGATAATCGTATTTGCGTGCGTACACATATGAGGAGGAATATGAGTCATCGAATGATATTTAAGCAGTCAACATTTCGGATAGAGTGTCATGTGCTCTAGTGGTATAGCAGTGCAAAGAATATGCAAATTGTTACTATCCTAATGACGATGTCTGTTAAGTTAATAAAAAGGGCTTAACCAAAATTGACTATAATCGAAATTGATTATAGGATGGTTGCTATAATATTACACAAATATGGGTGACGTGACTTCGCACGTTTTCAGACTAATAAATCTTTACAAGGTGATAAACAGTGAGTGCTGCTAATATTATTATCATTGGGAGCATTAATTGTAACCAAGGGAACTACAATTCCCAACTGATGTCTGTGACAGTAGTATAGACTTTTTGTTGATGTCGAGATAACTCTGTCAGTAATGTTTTCTTTTTGCAGGGAGTTCGTTTGACTACTAACATGGATGGTCTTCACGAATGACTGTTTTACAATACGTCAAATTATTCTGATAAGGTTTTAAGTTGTTTACTGAGTGAGTAACTTATGGAAAAATTTATTGAAACCACATATGTTACGTAAAGTTGATCATGAAAAAACGCTTTAATGACATTTATCAGTCAATTCGGCGACCAACATTATCAACCATATTACGTGGTTATCAAGTTGTGCCGATGCTGTTTGATGATATGCAGAAACAATCTTGAATAACTAGTTATAGTATTGGGAGGGTTTTAGCTAGTAAAAATTATGTAGTGTTGTTTTAGGTGCCTAATACTTTTTGATGGCACAAAATAAGTCCTGGTTTATTAATTCTGAGGCGTAGGAAAATAAAAATGGTTTGCTTAACTTTAACAGATCCAAGTTTCTTTTATCTATGAAAAATGATGATGCAAAAATATCTTTTAACTTAGCGTCAAGCTTAAAGGTGTACTATTGAGTAACTATTTTGAGCACCTGTATATCAAAGCAACAATGTTATAGTTAAGTTTTTGCACTGGTACAGCGCGATGATCTTGTTATTGCATATAGTCTCAGCTATGTTTAACGTCTTCTTCGACAACCGATGTGATGGCCGAACTCGTAAACTTAAATGTACACAATCATAGGGACTGTGGGGGGGGGTAGTGGAAAATTCTAGGTGCAGTTTAACAAAACTTTACTCTTTTTTGATTTATTTTCGATTCTAATAAATAGCCTTGATTATCCTAACTTGGACTTTCCTTCCTCTATTTGAACCCATTTCCTTCTAGTAACAATAGCTAGTATGAGTTTTATCTACTGATTTACCATACCTTTTTTCTCTTCTAATACAAACCGTGTAGCATTGCACAAAGTTTATATCCAAGTGCCATGCTGCCATATTTTTCTGTTTCTTCAGAACAACGTTCTCAGTGCACAATAATCAAGTTTTATAGGTTTGAAAAAAACCTGAAGCAAACGTAACCCACGCGTTTTCCATGGGCATAGGTCATACTAATGGCTTTTTGTATGTTCTTTATAAATACTATGAACTCCCTAAAAAGTTGTACCTCATAAATAATTATCAGCAGCAGAATTCTGAAAAAAATGTTGAGTTTGAACCTGCAGTAATTTTCCAAACGTTACGACGTAGACTTGTGCAATCTTTGAGACAGACTATAAGACTGCTCTCATAGTACAGTGCTAACACATAAGTCTAGTTATCAATTTTCTAGGACATCTTCACGAACGTACTACCTTTTATATTCATTGGTTCAGTCTATATAACAAACCTACTTGGGCAGCATCGTAGGTACAAACTGATGTTATGAATTATTTATCAGGCTTTAAAAATGGCGTGTACCTGCTCTGTCAGTTATCATATCACATTAAATAGTCAGACTTAAATCGCATGAAGATAATACAATATAACGTATGTGTCAGCTAGATAAACGAGTAGGTAGGTGTGGAATATAAAAAATTAATAAATCTCAAAGATGACACGGGTATTTGTAGTATGACAATGCCTTAACCAGTAACACCTATAATGGAAACGTGCCGTCCCAGTCAAATCAGATGCCAGAAATGAAGTGGTTTGAAGATATGTTTGGAATGCTATTGGTACGTGGAGAAGCGTTTGGTTTAAGTTGGCCACCAGTTGTAAGAGTTGCATAGCACAGCGTTCCCACTTGTGATCTGGTGCGGATGCGTGACCGATCGTCTTCAGCTAGGTACGTCCAGTAAAACTAATGAAGTCAGAATACATTCCGAAGAATCATGAAACTATTTATTTCGGGGATTTATTTACCGCAGTGATGACCCTAAGACCGGTCAGACAGAAGTGAACACCCAACGAGTTTGTCGTTAGTAAACATTCTTATGATGACAATCCACGTTCAGGAGCATATGGTCGATTTTCCCTAATATAACAGGCTATGGGATGCAATACAACTATCAATAAATGAACATTGGAAATCTCTATTCGCCATAATCTTCGTCAGTTTTTCATCTTTTCCAGTACTACTGTAGATGAAAAAAGAAATCGTAGTTGCATATCAAAATACACTCGTACAGAAAATGGGCGAATAATGAAGAAATCTCCTATACATGCGTTTTGTCAACATGTGATATCATAAGAACAATTTTGGCACAACGAAGGTTTGGGGATTGCTTTCTTGAGAAAACTAAACAGTATACATATATAAATCGGCATATTAAAAAGAACAGTGTTTGTTTCTGGTTTTCTGACACATTAATACCAATATCAATGCTGATTTATCGTGAGTTCCGTTCTCATTGATGATATGATACTCATCTATACGATGAAGAAATTTAAAGTGCCTTCGTATACTGATTCGATAGGTCGTCTATGTGAGTCTCGGCGTACGAAGATAGGTGTATTGTATCGTAAGTCAGGTTGAACGAAAACATCAATTGATTGCTGTCGAGTGGAAACAGATGTAACTGAACGCATTGCGTTTGTAAGCCTGCTGATGTAGCAGTTTAGACTCGCATTCATTAAAGAAGATGGAGGGTATACGAACTCTTCAGGAAGCTGAGGTGTCGTTCTGTAAACCAGTTGTGCTGCGATGAATCCGATGTCCGGCATTGTGAGTACTGAGTTAGACGAGTAGAGGAGCTTCAATCCACTGTGGAACGTTTAAAGCCGATAGTGAAGCTATTAGTTGTCAGTGAAATCGTTATACTAGCTGTATGCTTTTGGCTGTTAAGAGGTTGTTCAGAATCGGGTGATTGCAAGTAGTGTAGTAAGATAATAGATTCTAACGGTCGTCCGTTGACTGCAATGATAGTTGAGGGGGAAGCCAAAGTTTGATACACATCATTCGAAGAAGGTGCATGCCACTGTTTCAGCAGTAATGTCCTTGATGGGTGCTGCTACTGGCCATTGTATGAAACGGTCTACACAGGTTAAGAGGTAAGAGTATCCATTTGAATCTGGAAAGGGTCATACCAAACCAATATGAACATGGTCAGAACGAGTGTCGAGAGTTTACAAAGGGCTGAGGGGTATTTGCTGTGTCTAGTCAACTTGAATTTCTAGCAGCTTACACAGAAGTTCTTCAACTCGCTAAAGTCTTTATTCACACCAGGCCAACAAAACTGTTCTGAGATGAGCTTGATTGTTGTTCGAAAACTTGAATGATGTTCGTGCAACTTACTGAGACGTTGCGTCGATAATATTTCGAGACGATTGGAATATCCCTACCTGTAGATGTGTCAAATGGTAAAGTTTCCTAACCTGTTCACATCTGCTTGATGTACGGATTCAGGTTTGTCAAAGATAACTCATACTTACTTACTTACTTACGCCTGTTACCCCTCGTCGAGGAGCATAGGCCGATCACCAGCATTCTCCATCCAACTCTGTCCTGAGCCTTCCTTTCCAGTTCTTTCCAGTTACTATTCAGCCTTTTCATATCGGCTTCTATTTCCCGGCGTAGTGTTTTTTTGGTCTTCCTCTTTTCCGCTTCCCTTCCGGATTCCAAGTTAGGGATTGAGTCGTGATGCACATTGGTGATTTCCTTAATGTATGTCCGATCCACT